GCCATTCTCCGGAGCACTATCTCAATTCGTTGAGGTTCTGCTTCCCGGCATATGTCGACAGTTTGGCTCAAATAAACTCACAAAAATTCTTTACAGGTTTCAATGGTTTTTTTACGTTAACAATATTTTTATTGATTTCAGAGAGAGGGAGAGATAGAAACATCAATGATGAGAAAGGATCATTGATCGGCTGCCTCCTGCACGCACCCTACTGGGGATCGAACCCACAACCCGGCCATGTGCCCTGACCAGGAATAGAACCATGACCTACTGGTTCATAGGTTGAGGCTGAGGGCGTGCGGGAGGCAGCCAATCCATGATTCTCTCTCATCATTGATGTTTCTCTCTCTCTCTCCCTCTCCCTTCCTCTCTGAAATCAATTTTTAAAAAAATCTTTTAAAAAACTGTCCTCAAAAATCAAAAGTCTGAGAAACTGTCACAGCCATGAGGAGCCTAAGCAAACATAACTACTAAATGTATTGTGGTGTCCTGAGTGGGATTCTGGAACAGAAGAGGGACATGCAGTAAAAACTAAGGAAATAGGAATAAAGTGTGGACTTTAGTTAATATAACAAACACACAATACTAATGGGAGATGCTAATAATTGGGGAGATTGTGTGTGGGGATTTTGGGAAATTTCTGTACCATTTTCCCCAATTTCCTGTAAATCTAAAAACTATTCTAAGAAAACTTTTTTAGAAAAAAGTCAAGTTCCAGGGCCCTACCTCCAGTGATGCCAATTCTTACTATCAAGAATCTGTATTTTATTTTTGCAGAACCCTCTCCCACCCACCCCGATAATTAGAAAGCAGATAATCCAGGGACCACTAGTTGAGAAAACTGTTACCTGGGTGTGAGGATGGGGCGTGGCTGAGAGGGCTAAGGCACACGAAACCTTCACCCCACTCTGTTCTTACATTTGAAGGCTCTCCTGGGCCACCCACTGTGGCTGCCACTGGATTCTGCCCACAGATCGGGTGGGGGTCAATCTGGATGGCCACACGCAGTTTCGGTTCTGCGTCTGTCCCAGCAGCACTATTATAAAAGCTCCCATTTGTTTTGAGCTGTTACATTTCAGGGTAATTTGTTATGTGGCAATAGATAACTAATACCACTCGACCCTGTTAAGCCAGTCTTTCATTTCTGGAGACATCGAGCTTAACTTGTGATTTAGGGTGGAATCCAGACAGTAACAGTACAGCCTGAGTGTTCATTAAATAGTAGCTGCTTAGTTACGATGGAGCACCCTGTCGAATACTTAATTTACATTTTCTCATTTAACAGACACACGGGGGGGGGGGGGGGGGGAGGCATTTTTCATCCCATTTCAAGAGTGGGGAAACTGAGGCTCAACTAGGGAAAGTGACTTGCTCAGGGTGACAGAGGAGGCAGAGTCAGGATGTAAGTTCTGATTCACCCGATGCCTGAGCCCTTTCCCTTAACCACAAGGCCCCAACCGCTTCACACTCCACTTCCGCCTCCACCCCCTCTCTCCTCCCCTCGAACATTTACTTAACTCTAATGTGGCCCCTCTGTGAAACCTCCTGACACTCCCCTCCACCTTGCTCTCCCATCTGGCCCGAGAACACAGCACGACTGTTAAAGACACAGACACGCTCCATGCAGTCAGCCCTCTGCTCTGTCCCTCTCCCCTTCCTCCCCTTCTGAGTTAATGACGTCTACTCGGCTGCTCAAGCCCAAACCTCCCACACCGTCCTCGATCCCTTCCTTACCACCTCTCCCCGAGATGTGTGACCCATCAACAAGTCGGAGCCTACTCCTAAATGCATCCCGAATCCCAGCCGAGACCACCTCATCTTGCCTTAGGGCAGCGGTTCTCAACCTGTGGGTCGCGACCCCTTTGGCGGTCAAACGACCCTTTCACAGGGGTCGCCTAAGACCATCCTGCATATCAGATATTTACATTACGATTCATAACAGTAGCAACATGACAGTTATGAAGTAGCAACGAAAATAATTTTATGGTTGGGTCACAACATGAGGAGCTGTATTTAAAGGGCCAGAAGGTTGAGAACCACTGCCTTAGGGTCTCTACCTGCTCTCCAGGCTTCCAATCTTGCCTCCTACCACCTCCAGGAAGAGCTTGCCCTTCGCCACGCCGTGGCCTGGAATGCAGACCTCACCCCAGCAGCCTCCTCAGTGGGGCCTCCCTGGCCACCCACCTAACACCATGGCCACCCCTGCCACTCCCAGGACCTGGCCCTGCTTCATCTTCTTCATGCCACTTTGTGGTGGTCTGCCTACCCAGCAGTCCTTTCTGCTTCCTCTTCTTTTCCTGGCAAACAGAACTGCAGCAGCCAACTCGAGGGAACACACTGGTTTCCCCCAGTCCTGTGGCCATTTCCCTTCCCCGTGATTCCCAGGGATCAGTTTAGGAATAAGCCTGGGCTACAGTTCTGGCCCATGAGACATGCGGATGTTCTGCTGGGGACCGCCACAGCTTTCCTCACTCTTAAAAAGGGACACAGTGCCCGGCTGGCGTGGCTCAGTGACTGAGCGTGGGCCTATGAACCAGGAGGTCACAGTTTGATTCCCGGTCAGGGTACATGCCCGGAGTTGCTGGCTCAACCTCATTGATGTCTCTCTCTCTCTCTCTTTCTCCCTCTGTCTCTCTCTCTCCCTTCCTCTCTGAAATCAATAAAAAATATATTTAAGCCCTGACCGGTTTGGCTCAGTGGATAGAGTGTCGGCCTGCGGACTGAAGGGTCCCGGGTTCGATTCCAGTCAAGGGCATGTACCTTGGTTGCGGGCACATCCCCAGTGGGGGGTGTGCAGGAGGCAGCTGGTCGATGTTTCTCTCTCATCGATGTTTCTAACTCTCTATCCCTCTCCCTTCCTCTCTGTAAAAAATCAATAAAATATATATTTAAAAAATATATATATATATTTAAATAAATTTTTAAAAAGGGACCCAAGGGAGGGAGGGATGTGCTCTCTCCCCCGTGTGCATAGCGTTGATTCTCACTCATCGTCTGTGGCTGCCCTCCCCTGGCGGAGCTTGAGCCGCTGGACCCACCACACGACCTGACTGCTTAAACCTGTGCCAACAATTCTGTTACTTTCAGCCAAAAGCACACCTATGATCCATTTCTAAAATCTCCTTTTGGCTTGTTTATTTCTGCTGCCTTCCCGCGCCCAAAATGTAAGCTGCATGGGGAGAGGGCCTTGCCCCTCTTGTGTCACCGCAGCCCGTCACATGCCTGGGCACTGTCGGGCACCCGCTAGGGCATGTGACTGCCGAGTGGAGGTCCGAGGCCCCCGCTCCTCCAGGGCCGGGGCTCAGTCACTCATCTCTGGGCTCCAGCAAGCGGCAGGGATGCGAAAGCCTCTCAGATCAAAGGTCCAGGGAAGCCAGAAGACAGCCGCTCAAGAACCCAATTTAATAAGATTTACAAGTCGACACGTACAAAAAAAACTAACAATGTACAAGTCATTGCAAGACCAGGGGCTGAATCTGGAATGCAGAGAGAGCCCTGGAGGGCCCCCCAACACGGTGCCATCTGAAGGTGTTTTCCCACTGATTCTTTACATCTTGGCCGTACCCAGCAATGGGACCAAACCCCAAACGGAGGCTAACACTTGAGAGCTACCCAGATCTAGTGTGTTCCCTCCCCCAGCCTCCCTGCTCCCGGAGTGGAACTGAAGGAAGGGGAGAGACTATTACCCTAAAGGAGTGGAGCTCTGGCACCAGCCGACTGGGACTTCGCAGCTATCCAATGACTGTGCGCCTCCTGCTACTTATGGTCAAATGCCCACCGTGTCTGCAGGCTGGGCGGGCCCACGGGGAGGGTGTGGGGGGGGCAGAGGGTGCCCCAAACGCCTTGGAGAGGCCGCAGGAAGGTATGGCAGGGCCGGGGCCCCCATCCCCACTGGCCACCTGCCTGGAATCACCACTGCAGGGGCCCGATGTCAGCCCCCATCTCCTCCTCGTCCTCCTCCTCCTCCTTCAGCTGCAAGGGCTTCGCCGGCCACTTCACCCTGACGATGGGCTCCACGTGGTCCTGAAGCCGGTGCCGCTTCATGTGGGCATTTCGACTCTTAATCTTATCGAACACCCTGTGGAGTCACCGGAGGACCCGGGTCAGGGCGGGGGGAGGGGTTGCCCCAGGG